CATAGAATTATTTTTTCTAGATCTGCAAAAATGATGTTGGTATTTTAATAGGGATTGCATTGAATCTGTAGATCACTTTGGGTAGTATAGACATTTTAACAATGTTGATTCTGCCGACCCATGAGCATGGTATGGTTTTTTATCTGTTAGGAAACCTCTAGTCCAGAGAATTAGGTGACCTCTGAATGTCACCAGGGACATCAGTATAGAAACTAAAGCACAAGCTCAGGTACCACTGACTAAATACAGTTAATACTTTATAATACTTTCTTTTGATATCTCATAAATGTTCTCTCTTAAAATGTACTTCCTATCTAATGGCTAACACTGTCAAAGCATTGATTACCCTCAATGTCTTATCCAAAAGAGTGGTTATTAATAAAAATTTCTTAATATAATTTTTCCATAATTGCAATTTCCAATGTGTCTTTTTAATTGGGATGTTAAATACTGCCTCGTTTCAATACAGTTAATACTTTATAATACTTTCTTTTGATATCTCATAAATGTTCTCTCTTAAAATGTACTTCCTATCTAATGACTAACACTGTCAAAGCATTGATTACCCTCAATGTCTTATCCAAAAGAGTGGTTGTTAATAAAAATTTCTTAATATAATTTTTCCATAATTGCAATTTCCAATGTGTCTTTTTAATTGGGATGTTAAATACTGCCTCGTTTCATTACTGTTTTTCTGTCTCTTGGGGGTAAGATGTACAAGTGCCAGAGTTGAAATAAAAACAATAATTAGATACCATAAATCTGTTTTAGAGTTTACCAGAGGTTGTATCACAGTGTCATTTAAAATGTATTAGATTTTAAAAACTCATAAATTTATGAAAAATAGTACTTACACTTTAAAAATAATTTATCATTTTTGGGTGGAGGAAACAGATGGAACAATGAAAAGTGTAGAGTGGACAAGTTGACATTCTCAAGTAGACTCACAAAGTGCAAATAAATAGGTTAAGAATCATGTTACATTTGTAACAAATTTGAAAACTTTTATTTTCCCATATAAGTAAATATTAGTATAATAATAGGCCATTATTGGTAAACTTTTCAATTTAATTCAGCCAAGTACATTTTTTTTGTAATATGACATGTAAATATTTAACATTTTTTTCTTTTAGGATAATGTGTTCCAGTTGCTCATTTTCACTGCAGACAACTGATACTGCTTCAGAACTAATCTGACCATCTGGAGAAATACAGATAAAAGATAAGGGGAAAATGCCCTTTACTGTAAGTTATCTTTGTGGGAAAATTAAGAAAAAGAAGGCTCTAATTCAGACCTCACTGTCTTCTTTTTTTTATTTTTTTAATTTTTTTTTAAAGCACATTTTTCAGAGAAGGAGCTTAGCTAAAATTATTATGCTACATAGAAAGATGATTTGAATGCCAGACACAAGTCTCCATACTGAATGTGGCCAAAATAAGTAACAGAGACTGTGCCTTGGGTTTGTTCTTTCTCTTGGTCAGGTGGGTGTAGGGGCAGGGAGGGTTGTAACCACTACCTTACTCCCCAACATTGGTACACGAATTTTATTCATATTCATACTTGATAGTAAATATAAAGATTCAATTTAATTTCCTGATTATGAAAACAAGGTATTACAGTAACAAGTGAAATGTATTTGATTCAATTTCATCATTCATTTTGCACTTGGCCCACTGTTCTTCCTACTCTCAAATCCTACATTATATAAA